ACCGCCTCCAGATCGTTTGCGTCGAACTCTGTCCATAAAAACAGGACGTGAAGTATTTTACCTATTTATACATCAGTGTGTTGTAACAGTAGTGAAGTAAGCGTGCGCAGGCACAATGCGAGCCTCTGCTATGCCGCTGCTGATGTACGGCAACGGGGCATGAGGCAGCTTATTCTGCCCGCTTCCTCCAAAACCCGTAAGGAACCTGTTACTGGTATGCTTGTTTGAGCGAGTATGTGTGCGCTTTAGTGCAATTTCAGGGCTAAGCGCGGCTGGTCATGAGCTCGTCACCCTGCTCAAGGGTGACCACTCCCAACAAATCACACCTCCCACGCGGCCAATCCGGGATTCAGCGCCTTGCCTGACGTGGGCTGTGCATATTAGGCATGGGTCATAGGATAATATCAATCACAGTCGTCGCATGGTGCTCCTGGGAGTGGATGTGTGGGGGGAGTGAGCATGGGGCCTCTCCAACGAACATCCTCATCAAACAATGTGTACTTCACCCAAAGACAGTTGTGAGGCCTGTCGCCAGCTGCATGTGCACCATAAGGGAATGGAACACAGCAATTACGGGCACAGTAGGCTAAAAGACACAGCAAACACCCACATGTGATGTTGCCCTAGCTGGGAAGGGGAAAAAGCAGGCATAGTCCATCAACTGCACGTGCAACACACAGGCTGTCCAACTAGAACACAAATGTACGACAGGAGGCATATTGCCCGGGCCCTCTTGGGTCAAATAGGGCGTCAGGCGAAAAGATCCCAAGGGTATGACGTCAAGGCAAGGGCCGTCACCTTGGCAACATGTGCAGCCTTTGCCAAGGTCCTTCGACGTTACAATGGACTGAAGGCTGTTGCCGCCGAGGTGGCCTCACTGCAGCATGCTGTGCGTACTTCCCTCGGCGGTTCTGGGGTTGTGGATGAAAGGCACCTCGCAAGAGCTGCTGCCAGGGAGGCTCTGATAAGGCGAAAGTTGGCAAAGCGGGCGCGTGCACCAGCTGATACCCAAGACCCCTCCACCACCTCCCAACACAGTGCCTCTCCCTCCGCCTCCCCATCCCCTTCCCCCACCACCTCCCACGCCACTTCCGCCTCACCCTCTCCTTCCAAGTCCCCAGCCGCGTCCACCTCCCCCGCTGGCTCCCCTGCAAACTCCCCCGTCGCCTCCCCCACCGCCTCCAACTCCCCCACCGCCTCCTTCACCCCCACCGCCTCCTTCACCCCCTCCGCCTCCAACTCGCCCGCCACCTCTCCCACCGCCTCCTCCTCCCCCTCCGCCTCCCCCAACACCTCCCCCACCGCCTCCGCCTCCCCCTCTGCCTCCGCCTCCCCCGCCACCTCCCCCACCACCTCCCAACGGCATTACCCTCACCTGCCGTCTAGCCCGATGGGTACTGCTCCTCGTCCTCGCCACCAGCCTCAGCGCCGTCTTCTCTTTGGCCAAGAGGGTGTGCAAGGCAGCGCCATGAAGGCACCCTTCCCCGCCCCCCAGCGGCCCCAGTACCCTCCCCAGACGCCGCCAAGTCCGTTGGGTGCAGCGGCTGCTTCTCCTCGACTGCCCCCTAGCCGTCGGCAGCCTGAGGAGGAGCACGGCGTGCAAGGCAGCGCCATGAAGGCACCCTTCCCCGCCCCCCAGCGGCCCCAGTACCCTCCCCAGACGCCACCAAGTCCGTTGGGTGCAGCGGCTGCTTCTCCTCGACCGGCCCCTAGCCGTCGGCAGCCTGAAGAGGAGCACGGCGTGCAAGGCAGCGCCAAGAAGGCACCCTTCCCCGCCCCCCAGCGGCTGCAGCAGCCTCTCCAGACGCCGCCAAGTCCGTTGGGTGCAGCGGCTGCTTCTCCTCGACCGGCCCCTAGCCGTCGGCAGCCTGAGGAGGAGCACGGCGTGCAAGGCAGCGCCAAGAAGGCACCCTTCCCCGCCCCCCAGCGGCTGCAGCAGCCTCTCCAGACGCCGCCAAGTCCGTTGGGTGCAGCGGCTGCTTCTCCTCGACCAGCCCCTAGCCGTCGGCAGCCTGAGGAGGAGCACGGCGTGCAAGGCAGCGCCAAGAAGGCACCCTTCCCCGCCCCCCAGCGGCTGCAGCAGCCTCTCCAGACGCCGCCAAGTCCGTTGGGTGCCGCGGCTGCTTCTCCTCGACCGGCCCCTAGCCGTCGGCAGCCTGAGGAGGAGCACGGCGTGCAAGGCAGCGCCATGAAGGCACCCTTCCCCGCCCCCCAGCGGCCCCAGTACCCTCCCCAGACGCCGCCGAGTCCGTTGGGTGCCGCGGCTGCTTCTCCTCGACTGCCCCCTAGCCAGGGCAGCATGCAGTCTCCTCCTCGCTCTCATGTGCTTGATGAGGATGCACCTGTGCCAACAGCCACCCGGGCTGCTGCTGGTGGCCTGCGTCCAGGCTGTGTTCCGCCGCTCATTGGCTCTGGGCTCTCGGGGGTGCAGCGGCAGTATTGCTACGGTGGGTCCTTTGCATCCAACCTGCCAGGTCGCAATTGGCCCAAAGACGCGCTAGGCAGTCGGTGCCGTATTGGCTTCCTCTCCTTTATGAAGCAGAACATCAGGCTTGCTCCCATTACGGAGGAGATGGCGGGCTTTCGGAGCTGGAACCTCCAGATTCACAACTTCAACGGCAGGCCTGGTGTTTCCGAGTCGACGTACAAGGGCTTGGTTAGCACTGTATCGAAGTACCTCGGCGTGTGCTTCCTGTACCAGGGGGCGCCGCTTCCTCTCATCTCGCTGCGACTCTTCAGCAACCCGGTAGGCATGAGGGGCAAGCATAAGGGACTCAGGGGCAGGGGGCGGTGTAGGGTTGGGTTTGGCAGGTCATGAGCATTAATAGGAAGGCGGTGGGGGATCGTGCTTTGCCCTGTCTTGGGGCTGGTTTACTGACACGTGGGGTTTTAACATGCCGTCCCTTTCCCTGCTACTGCCACAGACCTACGCCGTCGAGTACATAGACCTCATGGTGCGACGGGGCGGAAAGATGCGCATCCAGGCAGAGATCTCGCGGGTTATCCGCGTGATCCACTACCTGATCGAGAGGGACGCCGGCCTGCACCCCGACATGCAGCGGGAGGTGAGAGATTGGTCAAGGGTTTGTGTGCCTCTGTAGTAGTGGGTCCCATATTGCTGTTGCCGTTCAGTGAAGGTACCCTACCTCAGAACAATCTCGTTATGTACTGGTGAACCTTGCTAACACCCACACGCTTTGGCCGCCTTTATTGCCTCAGGTGGCCTTCTGCAAGGACATGCAGGACTGGCTGAGGCGCATGTGCTGCCAGCTGCGGAAGACGTTCCCCTACGAGGCGCCAGCGCCTGCCCCACCGCCAGTCGTCCTTGACTCCGATGGCGAGGCGGCCCCTGTTGGCCTCCCTGACAAGGACACCGTGCTGGGCTTCGTGACGGGTCTGATCAGCCTGGCAACGGCAGCCATGCAGGTGGAGTTGGAGGACGGAGTCAGCATCAGCTTGGACACCGCAGTCCTCATGTCGGACGCTGTGCTCGCTGCTCTCATGTCTGGCGTGTTCGTTCCACCGCTGCGGCTGTCTTGAGTCCGGACGCTGATGCGACCTGGAAAGGCCGCGTGTACGCAGTGCAAGCGAGAGGGGTGTCGCGGCAACAACCTGCAGCTGCTGCAGCCAGCTGGAGTCCTGCAGTGTGAGCTGCTGCACCACAAGACGGAGAAGCACGCTGCACCCATCCACTTCACCTTCCCGGACGACCTGGCTGACTTCATTCTCAAGTACGACAGCATTGCACGGCCCGTGCTGGCCAAGTACGGGGCTGCCAAGGTGGATGCGGACGCGCCAGAGTCGCCTTACCTGGTGCTGTCGCGTGGAGGGCTTCCCTACAACGACTACAACATTCAGATAGGGCCTGCATGGCACCGGATTCAGGAGGTGTATGACGCACCGTGGCAGCCCCATTTCAAGGCCTCGGAGTTTCGGCACGTCCATGCGACAACTGCCTACAGCGCCGTTGTTCGTGAGGTCGCGGCCAACACGGCGCCGTTGCGTGGAGACGCGTTTGTCATGGGCAACTCCCTGCGCGTCTGGGACAGCCACTACGTCAAGGGCAAGCACTCCATGCTGGCCCAGGCGACTGTCGAGCGCCTAACGAGCTGGCGACAGGAGCGGCAGCAGCAAGGGGGTGGCGAGGCGGGGCCGTCAAGCTCGGGTCCTATCCTGCCAGCGGCAGGCATGACCCGCGGGACAGTCCAGGCGCCTGCATGGTCAGCAGGCGGTCAGGCGCGGGGCAGCAGCGGCTCTGGGCTGGCGGCAGGAGGGGCAGCCGGCAGCAAAGTGCAGCTGGGGACCATCGATGGGGAGAGTTGGGACGACTGCATGGAGAGCGGTGGGAACAGCAGTGCAGGGCAGGGGGCGTCCGACGGCTTGGAGAAGGGAGAGGAGGACTGGGTAGTGGAGTCGGGAGGGGGAATGGACAGGACGCACAGGACTGGAGATAAGCAGGAGGAACGCCTAGAGGATTGGCCTAGCATCATTTCCCAGCAGCAGCAGGCAGTTCGCAGGAAGCGCAAGTGGTCCAGCGCTGTATAAGGGGGAGTAGCACATGGGGCTGAGGGCAAGGGAACGAACTGTGTGCATTAATTAGTAGGTTTGGCTTTGCTGCTGAAGCCATGGATTGCTCGGTACGGATGCTGGCCAGTTTGCATTGCATTGCTAGGTACTCATGTGCGTTGAGCCATTGGGGCTTGTTAATCCAAGACTCCCCCGGGCGCATGTTCACACGCAGCCAGAACGCGGCTTCATATGAAACCCACTTTGCCCAACTGCCTTGTTTCAGCTATGCAGTTAGTGTTTATGTTACGTTGTTTCGTGAGTTGCATATATTCAACGGCCGGAGACGCGCGGTCTCACGGCGCTCGGATTTACTGCGGCATTGGCCTGCGGCAGACTTATAGGGTGCGCGGGTTTTCACACGGCGGGGCATCTGCCGTACGACAGTGCTGCTGTTTACGCACTGAAGCGTCTCTGTGTAAACACCATGCATACACTCGCTTACGTATTTGAGTTGGTTATAGATAACTATTAGTTCTTAGTCTCAGCGCTAGGTCAACATGTAACTCGTGAAGGATGGCGGGCAAGCTAAACAAAACTCAACCTCAGAAAGTCGCAAAGACTGTGCGAAAGCCTATTTGTTCAGAGATAATCAAGCAGTTCGATGATATCCTTGCTGGGCAGAAGGGCTATGCGGTTGCAAAGTCCTGTGCCAGCATCCTCGAGGGAAAACTGCAGTCGCTAGAGGTAAGAGCTCCTGCCCAGTGCTTTGTTGAATTCCAATTAATTGTGCGTATTTTATTCAGAAACGCGCTTTGATGTGTCAACGCCCAACGTGAACACAGTATGAGCTTGGCGGTGCTGGTGGCGTTCCCGGCGATGGTTTATATGGCTCAATCACATTGGGCCAGTTCCATCGCCTGCTTTGCTATCTGCGCCTGGTGGACCTCTTGCGACCTTGCGAGAGCGTCCTGGGCGACATCGGTGCGGGCATAGCGAGGTGAGTCGGCATGCATGGCCCGGTCTTAGGAGGGGCACACGTACGGCAAAAGGGGTGGGGAAAGGCGAGGGGAGGGAGAGGTCATGAGCCACACGTGAAGCATCAAACACGGTGGTTTTCCATGTGAATGCAGGCCGGTGGTCATTGCTACCTTCTGCTTTGGTGTGGAGGCTACTGGATGGGAAACCAGCGTCAACAGGGTGTACGTTGGCACCTCTATCATTAGTAGGATAGCCGACAGGTGCACAGCACCCGGCAACAAGGAGGTGGAGCCCCCCATCATGGCAACCGTCTTCCACTGCGCAGCGCAGTACAGCAAAAAGCCCCCCACCATTGCTAAAGCCAATGCTGCAAAGGTACGACGCTTGTAGCCTGGGGTTTCATGTGGCGGTCGCCAGCTGTTACACGGTTGCCAGCTGTCTTGTTCGCATGCAGGTGGACTACAAGGACTGTACGGTTCTGTACACCTTCTGGCAGGGCGTTAACCCAGATGACCGGAAAGCCATCTGCGCCCAAGTGGCGCGAACACAGCAGAAGCTCGAGGTAAGAGCAGGTTGGGCGTGCAAGGTCCTCTGTGTATGAGGGAGGCAACGGCAGGGACATCCCGTGCGCTGGCAGTTAGTTAACCACCTTATGGTTGCTGTACGACACCATACACTCGCAGGTTGTGATCATCGTGCAGCAGGCCCTTCGTCAAAAAAGCCCAGCAGAGCAGTACATGGCGGACTTGGGGCTTCCTGGCCTAAGCCTGCTGTGGTACTCACCTGTCGGTGCGCAAGGTAAGAGCCCAGCTCGGGGATGGGCCGCCTTTTGGTGATTAGAGCCTACTAAACATCGTGCATGCATGCAGGCGGGCAGAAGTTTCGGGCCTACACCTTTATCACGGAACTCGGTAGGCGTAAGCAGCAGGCGCCGAGTCCTGAGCGGCTGCCACTCATCCAGGTAAGCGACTTAGCTGGTACGGATGTGATGTCGTACATCATGCCGCCGTACACATGCGGTTTTGGGGCTCAGAGAGCGTGTTGTTGCATTTTGCATTGCGGTGTGCAGCTGGGGTCGCTGCCTCGTGTACCTGTGTCATCAAGGGCAACGATGCATGCAGCTTACTCCCTTGGATTGATAGGGCTGAATCGTTGCATGGTCCCAACCTCTTCCTTCCACAGGCAGGGGTGGATGACGCAGAAGCCCCCATGGAGCTTGCAGATGGCGCCGAGCTGGCCACAGCTGCTGAGGCAGCGGCAGCTGCTGACCCTGTTGCTCCTGACGCGGAAATGGAGGCTGTCGTGGATCCTGCTTTGGAGGTAGACTATGACGCCGCAGAGCCTGCACCCAAGAAACCCCGGCTGTCGTCTCCTAGCAAGGACCGCACAGCCCCTGCTGCTGCTGCTGCTGCTGCTGCTGCTGCTGCTGTGGCGGCGGGTATCAACACTCCTGCTGCACGGCGGGTGAGTTAACCCCTAGGGATGCAAAGTCTTTTCTGTTATCCCATGCTTAACAACAGCGGGTTCGCAATCTAGCCTCCCCATGCACACCCCCTGCATGTGCGAGTCCCCTGCATGTGCGAGCCCCTTGCATGTACAGCTCTTCCGTACACGATCCCCTTGCTTGCTGTACATGTCGTACAGGTGGCGAATGGGGGCCCCCAAACCTGCAACGCCTCGACTTCTCCATTGCAGCTGTTTGCTGCCGCTGCTTCTGCTGGTGACGGATCCGCCTCAGGCGTGCTTGGTGGCGCGGGCACAAGCCCAGCAGGGCTAGCGCCACCTGCATCAGCCACCGCTGCAGACCTGGTAAGTCGTACACCAGCACGACTGCCAGCAGTTGTGGGCGTTCGTGTGTTTTTTGGTGTGCAAGATCCGCCTCCTCTTTCTCGTACCACCACATGACACCATTGCACGTCTGACCCCCGTGCTCTGCGTTTTTCTTCTTGCTTATGCAGGTGCAGCACCAAAGCTGCTGCACGCAGCCCTCTGCTGCTGCTGCCGCTGCTGCTGCTGCTGCTGCTGATGTGGCTACCAGCGGGTCCCCAGCAGGCGTGCCAATGGGGCGGTCTCCGCCGCTGAGCACGGCAGGAGTTGTCCCCTCCCTGGCTCCAGCCTCCTCTCCACCCGTGCCTACAGATCTGGTGAGTTCAGCTATAGCCTAGCTAGCTCCTTTGTTAGCATACCGATTTAGATCGCTGTGTGGTAGTGCAGAGCATATATTGCCTCTCTCTCTCTCTCTCTCTCTCTGTGTATGCCCTGCTGCTGCTGTCTTGGAGGAACGCATGATTGAGCTAACCACCAGCAAAGCAGGAGGTTTAACGAACCCCCAAGCTGACAGGAAGCGCTCCTATCGCCCCCCTCCCATGTTTCCCCTGCAGGAGCACGAGCTACGTGAGAAGTACGGCATGCCAATGGTCAAACTCTTGCTGGAGCTGAAGGAGCCCGTGGCAGTTGGCCTGCTCGCTGTATGCCTCAGCACCAGCTCTCTCGACTGCTTCGACGCGCTGGAAACGCTGAGCCTGTTCTTCTTGGGCCCCTCACGAGCCCAAGGGAACGTGGCGGCGAGGCTGCTGGAGTGTGGAGCGAGGGCGATGCAGTCGCTGCTTGGTTCCCGCGGCTACCAGACAGCCAGCAACCCACCGGGGGGCTTGTCGCGGGTGGAGGTTCTACAGAAGCTGATGCCCAAGGCCCTCAAGTCCTTGCGCAACACTGTCGCCCGTGGGCGCACGGCAGCAGCCTCTTCCAGCAGGGGGGGCGCAGCAGCACCTGCTAGGAGCGACGCCGAGGTGAGCGCTTGCTTATTAGGGAAAAGGGAAAACGGTGCAGTGCTCTCTGCATATGCACTGGTGATGCCAGCTGCTGCTCCCTCCCGCCTCATCAGTGAATGCCTTGATCAATTGGAGGGGATGTACGGCACAGCAGAGCAGACGTGTATGCACGTCCCTTCTTCCGTGCATGTCCCTTTTCACGTCTGCGTCTGACCCTCTTCCTTGCCGCCCCTGCCCAATGAATGCTGCCGTACATGCAGGCTCCTGCCACCGGCGTTTCTTCCAGATCATCAAGTGCTCCTGCTGCTGCTTCGGACGCTGTGATGGACGACGCCGCTGCCGCCGCTGCTCCCAGTGCTTTGGGCTATCACGCACCAAGCTCAGCTCTCGACATGGTACGGCAGCTCAGACGGCGGGCAACCCACAGCAGCACGCACAGCCATCATCAAGAACCGCCGGGGCGGCTGTCACCCTGCAGATCATCCGCTGCCCCTGCGTCTGCTGGAGAGGTGAGATGGGCTTTGTAGTTAGTATGTGTACGAGACAACGTAAGAGGGGTCTTTTGGCAGAGCATGTAGCAGGTGTTTTGCCAGTGCGTTACAGTGCATGCAGTATACTTTTTGGCCAAACCTGCATCCAAGCACCTCCGCTGCTGCTCGAACTGGAAGGTTGCCGTACACCCTCTCTCCCCTCCCCGTCACCCCCGTCATCACCCCCGTCATCACCCCCGTCGTCCCACCCAAACACGCAGGTGTTCGTACGGCACGGGGGAGTGGAGTACAAGAAGGTGGATGGCCTCCCCGCCACCTTTGTCAGCAGGTGCGGCAAGGTCCTGTCCTTGAGGGCGGCGGGCTACAAGCCTGTGGCCGTTACCCGTCATAGAACAACGGGCCACGCGGTTGCAAAGGTTAGGTTTCCTGGCTCGGCGTCTGGGGATGAGCGACGGGTGCAGGTGCGCAGGCTTGTAGCGGCCACCTGGATGCCAGTGGAGGTAGTCAAGAAGCTAGGCCTCACCTGCGCGGAGCCTTACGTGGGGCCCCTGCAGGAGGCTGTATGCAGGCTAGCGCACAGGGACAGAGACGTTCTAAACGTGGGCGTAGATAACCTCGAGGTGGTCCCCAACTAACTAGCTAGGTGCCCCACTAGGGGACGGATAGGAGGCACCGTTCGGGTTGATGATGTTGTAGTATGTACGTGTGTTATCTTTTGGTTAAGAGCTCCTGCTCCTGATGCACGCGCGTTGTATGTAGTGCGCCGCACATACAGCAGGTTTGCATGAAGAGAAGGACACCGCAGTGTTGGCAAGCAGGTTGTATGCATGTGTGTGCCCAATAACACGACTCTGTCCTATATGATGATGATGATGATGATGATGATGATGATGATGATGATGATGATGATGATGATGATGGTGGTGGTGCACTGATTTGACCTGGTTTAAGCGAGCGTGTCTCTGTGTGTGATTTTGCCAACAGTTGCACGGTTGCTGTGGTGATGATAGATGGCGACCCGTCGTTTTATGCAAACCATGCTCATGTCGTACATGCTGCTGCTATTCATGCAGCAGCAACGTTCTTTCCTAGTGAGTAGTAGTAGTAGTAGTAGTAGTAGTTCTTTGGGACGTGTCACCATCGTACATGGTGCCTATGGCTGGGAACAAGCGGAGCTGGTAGCGCAGCAGCAGGTGGTTGCCTTTAATTGGCTCTTGTACGACGACAACAGTGTGTAGTACGGCGGTTAGGCTACAGATGACCCATGGGTCATCAGGCTGTTAGGGGTGTTGTTAGTTGTTATTATGCATGGCGGCGACTGCACATTGGCGTGTCTGTCTCTTACCTATATTCCTCTCTCTATCTATCTATGTCTCTCTCTAGATATCGTTGAACCCAGTGCTGTTGTTCATGTTGTTGTGTGGGGTTGCAGGCAGGCAGGCAGGCAGGCAGGCAGGTGTGAGCATTCTGAGCATGACGTTGGTGTGAGCAGCAGGGCGTTTTCAGCAGGAAGCTGACAGGCAGGCAGGCAGGCATATTGAGTGCGCTGGTGGTACTGTGCGTGTGTGTGTGTGAGAGCAGGTGGTGGGCTTGACAACGACGCAGCAGGCTAGCAGTGATTACTAGGCAGGAGATAGAGCAGCTGGGCAGAGCATGCACAGGCATGGAGTAGTTGTGGTAGACTACCACTGTAACATTCAAGCAAACAGAAAGGAAACACCTCGCTCCTCTCGCATGCACCGCACACAAACACGCACAGCAGAGCACAGCTCTCAGCAGCGGCCGGCGGCCGCTGCTGTCGGCGCCGCGGATCAAAAAGTTACGTGTCGGGTCCGGGATTCGACCCCACGCGCGTACCCAAGCTAATGGGTATAATACGGCAAGAAGCACCATACCTTCTCATATACCGCCCAGGCTCTCATCATGACCAAACAACAGCAGCAGCGCTACATATCATTAACCTCGCCAACAGCCCCAGACCCAAAGCAGGGCCTTGCGGGAAGGGGAAGCAGCCCCGAAACCACACGGGAAAAGTGACACACTTTGACCGTGTACGAAGGCCCTCTACACGTGGAGACGCAGCCACAACCGCGCATCCATGCCTAGGCATGCAACACCCAAGTGCAGTGCAACCGGGGGAAGCCGCAAAGGAGCCCGCAAACATGCCATGCGGCACGCGCAAAAACACCACGCCAGCCAAAGGACACTACCTACACAAAAGCCGATTTGCGATACATACAAACAACGATAGCTGCCCGAAACAACACCAATCGATTCAACAACATCATATTACCCTAATCAGCCAGCCCGATCGCAAAGCCAAGCAAGCGAGGAAATAATCAATTCAAAGCCGCGGTCAACGGTACGGAAAAGAGAGAAACCAAGCCATTAGAAGCCGGGAAAAAATTTCCTCGCTCCTCGACCACAACTACAAGCGACGACGCTTTATCACACACGCAAACAAACAACTGCACACTCATACTCACATAAGCATGTCCTCATTCATATTATTTGTGCATGCAGGGTATATGACGGCTCAAATGAAGGCCGGGCTGAGAACTGCGCGCGGGCCGAGCACGAACCGCCCAAGGCTCGACTGTGCAGCGTTCCTGCCAAAGGCAAGACAATGGTCTTATTTGTTATTATCTGTATCCTTTCAAGCTGGCTAAAATTAAAAAACGGCCACAGAGCTTGTTCGTCTGCGGTTTTGCCCCTTGGCGCCAATGCTAAAAAGCACTTTTATTTGCCGCAAGCTGCTGATATCGATTCAATAAATTATGCTCTTTCAATCAAGAATAGAACTTTGTGCTTGATCGCTGAAAAGTTTCGATGCTGCTTTTGAGCGCCTAGCGCTTACGGCCGCCGCTCCTCATGCTCATTGCAGCAGGCAGAGACGCTACCAATGAGCACGTTACAACAATAATAATACGATCGTCTCTCCCAAGAACGCCGCTGCTCTGTCTGCGATGCCAACTACCGGTACCGACCGAGCCACGGCGGCACCGCTGCTGCCCATCAGCAGGGGCGTGTTGCCAGGCAAGTACTCCCCCATGCAGGTATCGTACAGCCAGAAGACAAACTATGTATCTATCCGTGATGATTCCCCCAAGCAGTAACATGCAGCAGTTCTCGATCTATCTAGGACAGCGCTGTCCGTGTAGCAGTATTGCCACGTGCACAACTCAACTAACGCCTACCACATGCAGCTCTGTGTTACCACACCTGTCGTACGTAAAGCGACCCGTGGGTCACCCCCTGGCCCCCTTGCCCCACACCGCCAAGACCGCGACTGGCTACGGTAAATCCCCGGACTCAGAGGGGTGCTGTCCGCCCTGCTGCTCGTTGCTCCACGCCGTACGCGGACCATCACGGGAATTCCACGGGGGTGCCGTCAGGGAGGAACTGCTGCTGAGCGGTGCGTGATCTGGTCTCCTCAACTACCGTCTTGTAGGCCTTGGAGTCACCCTTCCTGTTGAGGGAACCTGTGCCCCACCAAACGTGGCAGGGGTTGATGCATGTACGGCAGTCGCAAAGATGCATGACTGCTGGCTGCTGTTGCTGTGTTGGTTGCTGTTCTTCTTGTCCCTGCTGCTGCTGCTGCTGCTGTTGCTGCTTTGAAGGCTGCTGTCCTGGCAGAGTGACTGGCGTGGGCCCATGCACCGCCCAAACCATCACACGGTGCAAAGCATCGATCTGCTGCTGCTTCCTGCCCTCCTGGCCCATCACACAGGAGACATAGCTGTCCACGCCCTGCTGCTGCTGGAAGAACAAGGACCGCAAGAGCTTGTCAGCTGGATCCGTTCGAGGCTGCAGCTTCACTGTAAGACACAAGCTGCGCCAGGTGTTGCCAACCTTCACATGCAGAGGGTAAAGAAGCAGGCAAGCCCTTGCGACGTCCTCCTTGTTGAGCGACCTGCGATGCTTGACCCTGTCGTACAGTGTGTCCACTGCTCTGTGCCACTGCTCTTGCTGCCATGTTGGGATGTAGGAGTGGGGAAACGCCGGTTTTAGGCAAACCTTGGCAATGCTGCTTAGCATCTTGATGGACCTCGCACATGGGCAACCCACAGCCGTGTCCCAAAGGCCGCTACTGCCCGTTGCCCTTGCCAACACAGGAAGCAACTGGTCCTTGAGCTCAGGAGGATCCTGGGCTGGTGTGGGAGGTGATTCCCCCAGCTGAACCTCAGCAGCCTCACGCACGCGTGCTGATGGACGCCGCTGGCGAGTGCTGCATCCCTGCTGTGATGCCTCTACCGGTACCAAACCCGATGAGGGGCATGGGGCAGTGCCTGGGGTACTGCTGTACACTAGGGTACGACAGGTGGCTGCTGCGTCCTCATAGCTGATGTCAACTGGTGTGGTGCTGCTGCATGAAGATGTTCTCTGGCGCTTGAATGAGGACTTGTCGTACGGCTGCTGAGGTCGGAAGCGTAATAGGCCAAGGAAGAAGGGGTTCTGGACCCCAAACCTTGCGTACTGGTGTTCACTGTAGTTAATGCTAAAGCAAGGGTCGCCCTCAAGCACGGGCTGGTGGCACTCTGGAACCGCTGCTGTGGGGCGCGACTTGTCTGCCTTCCTCTGTTGGTTCAAGTCCCGTTTACTGATGCCCTGCTGACATACATTTTACAATAGCAATCGTCTGTTATGCTTGTAATATTTTACGAAGCCGCGCTAAGGAAAACGTACCTGCGAAGAAGAGGTTGCCATACGATTCTGACCAATGGCTTTGCTCTACGTTGTTTGTAACTAAAAGACTAGAGATTCTTTGAATAAGAAACAGATAATGAGACGCGTGCCGGCCGCTATCCTTGCACGTATGGGCTTTCTTTTATCTGTTGTAATGATAATGTAACAAACAGTCTACTGTTAAAGTAAAAGAAGTAAAGTAATTAACAAGGACAACTCGCCGAATCTTTCCAAGTTAGATGCCAGTTGCGGCTTGTAGTACATAGGTGGATTGCCGTACGTGTACAGCATGCCGTACAAATGACGCTTTCTTTACCATCGTGACACCTATGCGGCAACGCCTTCCTATTACAAGTGTTGCATGTCCATGGCCAGGTCTCTTAACGGTGTCAAACAGTGGAGATTTCTACACGACCAGGCCTCTTCATGACTTGCCAAAACATCTTGTCGGTTCCTCTATCGGGGCTATGAACCCCAGTGGCACTGAAGGCCGATAGAGCATCAGTTCGCATGAAACAGCATGGCATATGAGCGCAGCTAAACATGTTAACAATGGGAAGGGGAAACATGGATGCAGTCCTTCAAGCATGAGGAGGAGGGAGGGAAAACTTATAGTTCTTTTAGCACAACCACCTTATTGAAAGGGCGCCGAGGAATGAGGGGAAAAGAAAAAGGCAAGCAGAGAGCGAAGCAAGCGTACAAAACAGTAATGTGTGCTGCCAAACTGACCCACGGGTCACTTCATGACAGAGACCTTCAGGAAATCGCCCCAAATGCGCAATTAAAGCTAACTCGCGCATACATGCAACCGTGCTGCATTGATAAGCACTCAATAACGGACTCGTAGCCGCAATCGGGGTAAGAGAAGACAAAGGGAAGGGCCATTTCCATGCCTCCCGAGTTTACGCGGCCTCCAACCAACCAACCAATGTACGGCACGTCGTACCGCATAACTCTTCAACGACTCGACCGTTAAGAACCGCACCGGCAGCATTCGATAGCCTATGCAAAGGGCTATCCAGGGATAGCTTGGTTGCAACATGCAACAACTCTAGGCCACAACCCGCACGGATTCCCTCCGTCACCCTCAAGGGGGCTGAGCACCAACACACTCTACCGGTACCACACATTTAGCCCCAAACGCGCAATTAAAGCTAACTCGCGCATACATGCAACCTTGCCACATCTATGAGCCCTCTAAGAGGAAGCCATAGCCGCAATCCGGGCTCAAAACAGCAAAGGTATGGAGCAGATATGGGCATCCACGTCACAAACCGCCCTCCACCAACCACCAAGCGTACGGCATGCGGTACGGCATAGCGTTTCACCCACTTCAAAGTTCGCGATCGCACTGGCACCATTGGATAGCATATGTGAAGGGCTATCCAGGGATAGCTTGGCCGCAACAGGCGACAACGTCTTGGGTAAACGGCGGCCGTTTCCCGCATTCACCCCCATGAGGCCTTACCACCACCGTCCCCTACCGGTTACACACATTTCGCCCCAAACGCACAGCTAAACCTCATGCGCGAACACATGCAACCTTGCCACATCTATGAGCACTCTAAGAGGAAGCCATAGCCGCAATCCGGGCTCAAAACAGCAAAGGGATGGAGCAGATATGGGCATCCACGTCACAAACCGCCCTCCACCAACCACCAAGCGTACGGCACCGCGTACGGCATAGCGTTTCACCCACGTTGAAGTTCGCGACCGCACTGGCACCAGTGGATAGCATATGTGAAGGGCTATCCAGGGATAGCTTGGCCGCAACAGGCGACAACGTCTTGGGTAAACGGCGGCCGTTTCCCGCATTCACCCCCATGAGGCCTTACCACCACCGTCCCCTACCGGTTACACACATTTCGCCCCAAACGCACAGCTAAACCTCATGCGCGAACACATGCAACCTTGCCACATCTATGAGCACTCTAAGAGGAAGCCATAGCCGCAATCCGGGCTCAAAACAGCAAAGGGATGGAGCAGATATGGGCATCCACGTCACAAACCGCCCTCCACCAACCACCAAGCGTACGGCACCGCGTACGGCATAGCGTTTCACCCACGTTGAAGTTCGCGACCGCACTGGCACCAGTGGATAGCATATGTGAAGGGCTATCCAGGGATAGCTTGGCCGCAACAGGCGACAACGTCTTGGGTAAACGGCGGCCGTTTCCCGCATTCACCCCCATGAGGCCTTACCACCACCGTCCCCTACCGGTTACACACATTTCGCCCCAAACGCACAGCTAAACCTCATGCGCGAACACATGCAACCTTGCCACATCTATGAGCACTCTAAGAGGAAGCCATAGCCGCAATCCGGGCTCAAAACAGCAAAGGGATGGAGCAGATATGGGCATCCACGTCACAAACCGCCCTCCACCAACCACCAAGCGTACGGCACCGCGTACGGCATAGCGTTTCACCCACGTTGAAGTTCGCGACCGCACTGGCACCAGTGGATAGCATATGTGAAGGGCTATCCAGGGCTAGCTTGGCCGCAACAGGCGACAACGTCTTGGGTAAACGGCGGCCGTTTCCCGCATTCACCCCCATGAGGCCTTACCACCACCGTCCCCTACCGGTTACACACATTTCGCCCCAAACGCACAGCTAAACCTCATGCGCGAACACATGCAACCTTGCCACATCTATGAGCACTCTAAGAGGAAGCCATAGCCGCAATCCGGGCTCAAAACAGCAAAGGGATGGAGCAGATATGGGCATCCACGTCACAAACCGCCCTCCACCAACCACCAAGCGTACGGCACCGCGTACGGCATAGCGTTTCACCCACGTTGAAGTTCGCGACCGCACTGGCACCAGTGGATAGCATATGTGAAGGGCTATCCAGGGATAGCTTGGCCGCAACAGGCGACAACGTCTTGGCCAATCCGCGGCGGATTCCGTCCGGCGCCCCCCTTAGGCCTTACCACCACCGTCCCCTACCGCTGTCACAGAAATGTCCCCAAACGCACAGCTAAACCTCATGCGCGAACACATGCAACCTTGCTGCATTACATGGTACTTCATAAGGAAGCCGTGGCCGTGACCTAGGCAAGGAACAGCAAAGGGATGGGCCCGAAATGGGCTTTCCGACTTCACACACCTACTTAACCACCCTGCATCCCTCCAGCGGTTCTGGAGCTGATCTCCTTACGAATGCTGCATTTCTAGTCTCACGGAGCACACTTCCTGATAGAATACAACCAAGGGACCTTCAGGATACCCATGATTCGCAAGTACGACGTCCATAGACAGGAGTGCAGTTGCAGACCTGCAAGTGACCGAAGTACTTCCACTTGCATGGCTCAGCATCAGTCTTGGCACAAGAGGGGACGGCGGTGTGCTGAGAGGGCCTGGCGGTGGCGACTGACGTAGAAGCATTAATTTGTGAGGTTGTGGTTTGAACGAGGAAGAGGGGGAGGCGAAGGAGGAAGGGAGGCGTTGGAGAGGAGAGAGAAGTGGCGGCGGGGAGGGGGTGGTTGGAGGAGGAGCGGTTGCAGGAGGTGAGGCTGTGAGGGCCTGGTGGGCTGCATTCATGAGGCGCGAACCTCTAGTAGAAGCGGCATGCATAGGGGAGCGATGGAGCAGGTGGAGACGTCGATGATCTAAGAGAAGGGAGTGTTTGGGGTCTGGGTGACCCATGGGCCACTTACTGGTGTTTGGGACGCTGTGCGGCTCCGTCCTGAGCAGCTTTACGCCAAATTATAAGTGCGTTGAGGACAGGGGTTACGGTGTCAGCGCTGGACCAGCCTGCAGCAGTGCAGTGGGACACACCGTGGCATGGGAGTGGGGGAGGCACAGGGATGAGCACAAGGGGGGTTGGCAGGGTTGGCAGTCACAGCAGGTCCCCATGTTGCAATCAGCAGCAGCACAGGAGCGCGCGCGGCCACACACAAGACATAAGCGTGTCCCTTACATCGCAAAGTGCGCGACCTATGAGCCAGGCAGCTGTAGAATCTGTGCTTCCCTGCTTCCTGTCCCCAGCAACACAACCATGTTCCCCTTGGTGCCTTTCGTCCATTTCCCCTTCACCCCAGCTCAGCGCCGTGCCTGCCAATGCCCCCTACGCCCCGTGAACCGTTTGCTTACGTGTTAGCACCAGTTGCTGCCACTGGGAAGGGCGCGGCAACATAGTTCCGAGCCCATGTACGTGGTACACGGAGCAGAGCCCGGTTCTGCGTCGCGCCATCGAAAGAGCGGAGAAGGTTAGGGATATCAAGTCGAATTGACAAGAAGAACTTATATAACGCGTCGATTGGCAAGCAGGTGAACGTATCGCTTGCTGTAAGGGCGGATGCGGATGCCGACGTCTGGATATGAGCCCATTAGACCCGCTAGATGCAAAACTTACTTGAGAGTATAAACGTAAGCTCGTATGTCTTTGTTTTCTCCTCAGTGCTTGTTGTCGCTGACTGGTCGACTGCGATTCTGTTTGAATAAGAAACGCACAGTCGCCAGCTGGGCCTAAGCTGACAAGGCCCTGCCTAAGTGTTCTATGTGCACTACATAACGCTACGTAACTGGCCATTGGGCAGTTCGCCTCTTGGCTAACTTGTAATGCTGGTTCGGAGGTCGCAAGCTGGTCGTAAACAGGATGTGTTACAGGGCGGACAGGCGTATATGTCTTTGCACTTAATGTAAGCATTTGCAACACCTTGAGTCACCTGCAGTGTGCTCTACCTTCGGGCGGGTGTACTGCAAGTGGCTTGTTAGTCCGTCGCCTACCTCAATAAACACATGGACCTGCAGGAAATTCAACGCTGAACACCATGGTGTGCTTGGTTTGTTGAGATATGCGCGGAAACGAAAAATCCGTACAATCATGTACGCATCGATGGCTTTACCGGCCAAAAGTTCGAGCTCAGTCGTAAACCATGTTGCCATTGAAAAAAACAAGGTATAGTAGTATGTGGTGGCCCTTTAAAAGAAAATAAAATACACCAAGTATGTGCGCTTGCATGCGCGACCCTGCTTTTCTTATCATATCCCAATACGAAAACATGCAATGAAAGGTGGTTTTGCTGTTGTTCATTATGCTTTAGTGAATGCTGCTATGTGCGCGCGCGCGTGACTCGTCGACGAATGGATGGCATGGCATTGCATGCTGAGAATGTGGTGCTGCAGGTGGCGGTGGAGCATAT